TACAAAAATGTGTACACATGGCTACTTCCAGGCAGTAAATGAATAAGCACTTAAAGATTTTTCAAACACCAGAGATCAGTCTTTTGAGAAGGATTTCCTGACAGCTTGCAAAACTAGGATATCTGCTTTGCTACCTTAAAAGAAACAACTTAGTGAAGGAATCAATTGTCTGTCATTAATCTGTGAAAGCAAAGTAAGTTCAGTTCCTGGGCAACATTGTTTTACCTATTCCATAGAGGACTTTTTAGCATGCTCTGTAGCAAATATGTAATTGCCAAAAAAACCTTTTTGGTCTTCACTCTCAATCCTGAAGACTTGCACACAACAGCCCAGTTTTGGATATAACAACACTAGAGAAGCAGAGGCACTATGCTTGTCCATCACATTCTGCCTACAATTCATTTTTAATACTCAACATTATTTGTTTTCCCCAAAGAAGTACACTAACAATTCAGGAAAGTCTAGCTGGCTGCAACTTCTTACACTACTGATCTCCTTACTTTACTTCAGCTCAAAGTAGCTTCTAGTCCAAGTAATTACTCTAGTCTATTGCATTAACAGATTATTCTAATTCTATTCAGTTTAAATAAACACATCAAGTTAAAGTAAACAGCTATATATACACATTCAATTTCTTGTACATAACGGTTCAGCTTTCAGTAGGTATCAAGAAGCTGATCTACAAAATTCTTTCAGGTTTCACCATAAACTGGTACTTGCTTTCATATAATAATCCATATTGAACATTAGATATTAAACATGCTTTACACTTTTATCTAGGTTTTTTTCTAATCAAATTTAACTACGCATATATGCATTTTGCCTTAGTTGGTATCAAATGACCTTACCTAGATATTGCATTACTTAAATTTTTACAGAGTTCTTACATTACATCTGCCTGGCATGCAACTACTTGGATCCAGATGTCAGACAGGAATTGCTGTTGCATATGAAGTCACATTTGCCATCAGATTATGACACTTTTTCATCAGAATAATGTCTCCATATGAAAATCTTCTTTATCTGTTCCTCTACTTTAAGCATTAACCTCAACTAACAATTAAATGCTCTGATTCAATCACAGAACCTCCTGTGAACTGCCACACCTTCCCCAATGCAACAAGCTCTTGATTTCTTACTCTTCTGATTTCTTAAGACTCTGTAGTGGCACCAGCCCTTTCCTTCCTTGCCCCAAGCTTTCACCACCTTAAGCTCAGAAGTCAGCTATATCAGGATACAGTTCAGCATCAAGTGTTGCTTAAACACTGCTGTCTAAAGAGTTACGTCTTTATTATAAAGATGGGTGTGAATTTTAGGAGTAAGATATGAATGCACTTTTATGACACTTGTTAAATCCAAGTAATACCAATTCTTTAGGAGTTAATTAATGTTACTGCTTAATAATGTCATAACCATTAGCAGCAACTACAGTAAGAATTGCAAGAGTTTATATGAAGGTATGGCAACGTTAACACATTATGCTGAACAACTTGGCTGTGAACTCGACATACAGCAGTCAGCTGGCTACACCTTAGTTTACCCTGGATAACAGTATGCCCATATTAATTAAAAGATAGTCACAAGCCTCTCTTCAGCCCACAGGAAAGCAGCTTCTACACAAACAGATAGGATAATCAGGAGATTCTGTCCTGCTTTCTTTTGCTCCAGGGCAGAAAAAAATTTTAAGCCTAGAGGCTACTGAGTCAACATTTCAACTAAATCAAATCATTTAAAGTTTGACTTGAATAAGTTATAACAGAAGTTATTTTGACAAGATCAACATCAGTGAATACTCCATTTCTGGGGCACTGTTACGTTCTAGCATATCTAACAATTACTCTGATACAACTGTGTTCTAGGGAGTTGTAGCACCTGTTTCCAAAACAGTACCAGTTGAACACTTCATGTACATACGGTTTGAAGATTAAGTAAGTTTTTAACCCAAGTCTTAACACCAGCAAAGTGAACTTACTAATAACCAGTCAACAAAAGTCAACAGCCTAACATGAAAGTTCAGAAAAAGTAATTTCAAGGAAGAATTATTTTCCAGCTCAATTTTTTTAATAAGTGTTTCAGCATGCTTATCCTGTTAAGGCTTCAACACATATCGTGTAACTATGATTTCCATGTTTCACTGCATCACTCAATAAAATATTAAATTCAAGCCAGGAATGCCACTAAAAAGTAACATCTCTTTACTCTTATAGTATCTAAGGTTTCTCTCAAGAGGATACTCAGACAAGTAGATATTTGCTCGTCTTTTGAGGAATTTTCCCATCTCAATAATCATAATTTTAAAGATTATAATACACTTTCTATGTTTAAACACATCAATTTGCAAATGCATAGTTCAGAGGCATTTTTATTTGGAAGCAGGAACAGTTTGATGAGACCCACAGACTTTCAGTCAATTCCACATATTTTCCTTCTTCCCATCACTGGTGACAAATAAAGTCTGGATAAGATCCTTAGCAGTTTGGTCTCTGCACTATCAACAAGAAAGCCATGCTACTAGAGGTCACTGTCAAGTGACTATTAGAAAAGCAGACAGAAAAAAATGTGTGTGATCACAGACCTAAAGTACTACAAAGGGGTTCTTTTATCAAAGAAAGCCATCTACTTTGCAGAAGAAATGCAACATGAGGAGAGTGCAGCTAAATCTGCTAAAGTAGTGTCTGTACCTCTGCCACTACTTCAAACACTACAGGAAAGATGCAACAGGTGTAATGAAAAAAAATTTTGCTCAAGGTACTTTTGGCTGTAGCTTTGCTAGGGAAACAAAGTAAAAGTTTAAAAGAATCAGAAAAGCTGACTCAGCATGCAGAAGATTGTAAGAAAACAGCTTCTGGGTTTGGATGGTCCTACCATGGCTGATAAAAGCCATGCACTACCTCTACATCAGTTATTTTTACTAGATTTTTCAATCAGCCTTCTAGGTCTCACAAACAAAAACCAACTCCAAATTAGCTAGTAAGCACTAGAACAAGACTCAAGTGTTCACCACTTGCCAAATCACTGTAGGCAACAGAATTGTCTTTATCCCCCATCACTCCAAAACCTCAATACTATCCTCAAACACAAACTCAGCCAAGATCCTCACATGCCACCTATATTCAATGATCAGAATTTTCACATGCAACATCTTAAGCATATTTCAACCACATCTCAGATGTTCAGATGGAACCTTAAGACAGAGGTAAAACTCCCTTTTAGTTTTTCTTGTTTCTATACATTAAAAATGGCTGGGCTCTAAATACAACAAGACAGTTGTACCTATTGTGCAGACCAAGCTTTCCAGCATCTCCCTTACAGCCCCACAGCAAAGTATCCAGTATCCAAAGCACCATTTTGATCCTAAGTTCCTTGAAGCAACATAATTTTTATTCTGAGTAGAGTAAAAACAGTAATCCATTATGAACCTATAGAAAATCCTATAGGGGTTTTAGAGCAATAGGTATACATCTTGTAGATGTACAAGTGTTAAATTCCCTAAGTTTGTGTTTCCATGAAGAAAGAACCCTTCCTTCAGGTTACACACATATTAACAAAAGCTTGCTTCTCCTGCTCTTCATGGATGCAATAACTGGCCATAGAAATTACACAATAATCCATTTAAAATAAATCCCTGAAAACTAGCTAAACTGATATTTTTTCAGAAACAGTAATTTCTTTCTAAATTCAAACCAAAGAAAAACTCAATATGGAAAGCAACATCTTTGGAATGACCTATTTGTCCCAGTGAACAGCACTGTTTGACACACCTCCTGCAAGAGCATCAAATTCCCCTCAGTGAGAACTAAAAGCTTTCAAAACTGTTCAGATTTGACTACATGTGCAGGACATCCCAGTCCTCCCAAAGAAGGCAGGTTCTGCTTGTAGCCCTGGGCCACAGATGGGCTGTTCCTTGCTCTTTTCTTGACAAGGCTGAGAGCAAAGCATGGGTTTTTCTCAAAGGAGGAATAACTCTCTTAATCAACTGCTTGCCCAATCTTCCTCTCGACAACCCCCATGCACTAACCCCCTGTCCACAGCTCAATGGAGAGCAATAGGTTGTGTACAACCTAAACCTGAAAATGCTCTTATAAGATAGCAAGCCAATGCCTATGTAGAAAATCCCCACCTGAGAAACAGGGGGAAAAAAAAAAAAAGTCACAAAATTAATACACATCCATCCCAGCAGAAAAGGGGGCTCATAATAAGTTACATGAAACTATATCATGGTATTATAATTGTATCATTTAAAAAAACTCTAGTAGTAAATACATCCAAGAGCCAGTGAAGCAGAGGATTAGAATTAGACCTAGAACAAACTAAGGAATTTGGCTATGTATCTTTTCTGGGTCTCACATGACCTGAGATGCCTTACTACTCGATATAGCAAAACTCTGAAAAAGAAGTTCATATGTTTAAAATTATTCATTATCTAAGAAACTTTAGCTAGAGCCCAATGTACGAGCATGCTTTGACAGCACTCACATCAGCTGAAGGTTTCACATGTCTGAGAACAGGGAGGGACTGAGAGCCCATACACAGACCTTGCCCTTCACACGTGCTGCGTTCCTCATTAGAGCAGCCCCTAAAGTATTTCATAAAAACAAAACTTCTCCATCACATCTCCAGTTACTAAGGTGATCATGACGACTTCCCACTGTAACACAAACCCACTCGCTACAGAAGGGGGTAAGGTGCTGAAGACCACCTTCCTCCGGTTTCGTTCCTGCACAGTTCACCCTACAGCGGCAAACAGCGTTAACTCTTCACCGCGACTGAGATCAGCCTCGTCCATCCCCGCCGCCGCCGCCGCCGCCCCGACCCGTCCGAGCCCCGCTCCCCCCGCACGGCCCACGCGGGGCCTCTCCGGGCCCCGCAGCCCGCACCCGGCCCCGGGAGGGAGCGAGACCCCCGCCCGCAGCACGGGCCGCCCCGGCCCCGACCCGCACCCACCGCCGAGGGCTCCGGGAGCCCGCCCGGCGCGGCGCGGGGACCCCGCCCGCACCCACCGCTTCTTCGGGATGGAGCCGGAGGCCGGCCCGGCGGAGCCGCCCTGCGCCTTGCAGGGGCTCGGGGAGAGCGCTCCCCGGCCCGGGGCCCGCGGGGCGCCCCGCAGGTGCCCGGAGATGATGCGCAGCCGCCGCCGGGCGGAGGACGGGGAGCCGCCGCCGCCTCCCGCTGCCTCCCCGGCCGGGGCCGCCATCGCTTCCGTGTTGAGCCGCGACCGCCGCCGGGTGAGAGGGCGCGCGGGCGGAAGGCGCCGCCCGGCGCTCCCCGCGAGGGGCCCGCGGGCACCGCCCGCCACACCGGGCCGGCCCCGCTCCGGCCCTGCTCCGAGCTGCCCGCCGCACTCCTTCCCTCCGCCTGTCCTCCCTAACTCCCTGCCGCCAGCCTCCCTGCCTCAGCGGGGCAGGGCTTGCGTGAGGAAACCAGAGAGAGAGAGGGAGAGGAAAAAAAGGCGTTTGTTAGAGATTTTTCTCGTCTCGTGGTGTAATTATAGCCCCGCTACATCGCTGAGCACGCTGGAGAGAACACGAAGGTGTCCTTTAGAGACGGGGATTGCATAAATTAATGATGAAATGCTAATTAATGGCAATAACATAGGTGGGTTACTTAAGATATAGGTCGGTGAGGTGGCAGATAATCCTACAGGAGTTACAGATTTTATCGTAGCTGTTGACAGGGACACAAGGCCCTGGTGAGTGCAGGGCTGCTCAGCCAAGTGTCTTTGCCTGTGTAACCTGCCTGCTCCTCCCACGCCATGAAGTCCTAGAAGAGAGGCTCCAGGCTCCTGGTGATCTGCTTCCCCCAATAATCCCACACCACGAAATGAATGCTGACTGCTGGGAATATACCCCTTCTGCATCTGGGATAGCCATCATTGGGTCAATCCTGACAAAAACTCAATCCTGACCGTATTTGGGCCCAGTGGGAACGTCTGGGATTCACCTTGTAGCATCACTTTGAGGAGAGAAAAGAATTGGGATTTCAGGGGAGATGCAGATTTCGTGCCAACCTCTGGTGCTGTCTGCTACTAGGAATTTGCCTTCATGCACCAGAGTGCTTTGGATTTCCGCTCAGGAAAAGATGTGGGAACTGGAAAAATTTAAAGGAGAACAGATTATAAGAGGGTGTTTTTTTTTTTTTCCCCATCAGGAAATGAAAAAAGGCTGAATAAACCGAGTCCCTTAAAAAAGACTAAGGAAGATAGGTTATCAGTCTTCAAATATGCAAAAGACTGCTATGAAGTGAAAGGAAGCAGTCAAGCTACCCTTCGTGTCCCATCTAGGTCGATGAGAAGTAATGAGCTCAAACTGCAAGATGTAACTTCAGTATTAGCATTAGACTGCTTTCTAATGGCAGTGAAAATAAAAAACTTGTAGTCTGCCTAAGTAGAGGGCAAGTTAGACAGCCTTAAGAACAGACAACATGCATCTATCAGAAACTATATCATTATAAGCAGTTCAGCTCAGGGCAAGGAGGTAGGCTAGATTACCTCGGATCAATTCGACCTTTCTCTCGGTGACATGAAGTAGGTCCCACTGGTGAAGTCTATTCAGTTGTCACACAGGACCTACCTTCATGATCAGCTTTTGCAGCTGACAGGCACCAACCAGCTTTTTGGAAGTCTTGAATGGAATGCTAGTATCTATGTGATGACTGATACTTTCATAATAACATTTTGTCTGTAATTGCTGTTTATTTGTTCATTCCTTCCTCATGCATTTGTTATGTATATGAAATAAAATCACATGAAAATTCATAAAGCTCTCTTACCCTCTTTCAAACCTCGTTTAGGGACCTATTTCTCCCATGATACTTCAACATGATACCTTTCCATTTGCTCAGCAACTAGCAGGAAGTTCTCCAGGGAGCAGTATGAAGTGCACAAGCAGTGAGACTGGTTCGGTTCCCTACCTTGCATGCAATATTGGTGCTTCTTGCAGTCATAGTTCCCCATATATAAACCAAGGATAACAGTATCTCCCTGGAGAGACTGGTCTGAAAATACACTAAGGACTGTGTGACAATGTAGGACCAACCCCTGTAAGGCCTACTGATAAAAAGCAGTACATAAAAGCCACCCAGGTGTTATTACTATTTGTTTTGCTTTTATTCTCACCGTTGTTAATTGATTTTATGCCCTCTGTGTACTTTGACTAGAAAATAGCCTGCAATTTTCCGGGGCCAGTGATTGCACTAGTTGCAATGGGAACTCAGCCTTAGGTTAGGTTTCTGGTATTACTACAACATAAACAGCTGTTCTGGCACTTTGATAGTTTGGTTATGGAGTTAAATTTCCCTCCTGTGAATAATTTGTATACAACTTTCTGGATTAACTCATGCATATCCACATTTAGCTGTCTGATGCTGTGGAGGCAGTCCGTAGGGAACAAACACAGGTCTCGGCTGAGTTTCCATTCACACTGTTTACTGAAGTTTTGCATATAGCTGGGGGGACTTTAAATCACAGCTATCTAAAACTTTCCACATTGCTGAATGCTGGCACAGAAGTATTACATCCACTGCAGTGGGCTTCAGATTTTCCTAGAGTATTTCTTTGTATGACAGTCACTTGTAAGGAACAATAACGAGACCATTGCTCATTTATTTCATCCTAGTCATGGAGGTTCCCAGTGAAAAATTGAATTCAAGTAATATCTGATAAGCAATATTTGTCACCACCTCACAACTTAATTTCAAAGAAGTTCCCAGTTAATTTTTAGGTATGTATGTGGGTGGAGATTTAACTGGGAATGATAGAGACATGGTGGTATGGTTTGGCATTTTTGTGCAAGAGGGGTCTTTTCTTACAGTAAGAACGCTGAGTTCCTACCAGTGCTCTGCTCTGGTCCCTTGGAAGGATGGCAGTCTTCATAAAAAGCAGCTCTTGGATTGTGAAGTCGCTGTTTCTCACTCTCATGAAGTGAACCACTGGCATATTTTAAAAAAATGTGTCTAATGTAATCATATAAAGCCTATCTGATAAGTAAGTGTACTGAGAAGAAAACTTAGGAAACACAATTTTGAAAGTAATACGGTTGTGACACCAAAGAGAATTAAATGATGTCAGTAAAAATACCAGCAGATCTACAGTGTGGTAGTTGGAAGTATTCTAAGCATTGTTGAGCCAAAACAGCAGCATTCGTCATTCCCTGAGCTGTCCTTCCCACATACCCGAATGCATCTGCAAGCATGAGTGAGATGCCGGATCAATGTGACACTCCTCATGTCGTCAAAGACTCGCATTTCCAGAATTCTTAACACTGGCATATTTAAGAAACATAGTTTACAGTGTAATACAAAATAAAGTGGCCAAAGTACTTTAAACTTTCTGAGAGGTCTTCAAACAAGGTGTTTCAGAGCTCTGTTATGCAGTGCCCCCATGGGAGACCACAGAGGTAACTTGCTGCTCAAGACAAACACTACACTCTTGGGCAACCCATACACAGGCTGTGGAAAGAAAAGACTCTTCTGATAAATCTTGCCTTGAATGAAGTTCTGCAACAGATTTTGAGAATTACCTAATGTAGCATGAGAGCCCTTGAGATGTAGGAATCAGATGTGTAAAATTAATTGATGGGATACAGCAACTTACAGGTTGCTGAAATAGCAACCGTACATGCAACAAGAAGACAAGGTAGAGTACTGTGTTCAGCTTAAACTGTAAAAAGAATTTTGAAAAATTTCAAAGAAATTTTATTGAAACATGAGGAAGTTCCCAGTTCCAGTGGAAGCTGGCAGGAATTGCAGTGCTGTGGTAAATACCTGTGCTTTTACTTTACTAAGTAGCAGAAAAAAAGTTGAGGGAGTTTTCTTTTTTATTTTTCACTTTAAAGTAGCACAGCTTTGAGTTATAATTCTTGCTTCACCTCACTGCTTCTGAGGGCAACAGAAGAACATTATCATACTACTAGCAATTGAGAAAATGAACATAAAGAATCCTTTGCTTCCTTGAAAAACGGAAAAGTAGAAACTATTTTTTTCAAAACTCTTCATTGAGTTGCAAGGTTTAAACAGAAGAAAACACCAGCTTGAATAAGGGGTGTTTCAGATGTTCTTGCTTTCTCCAGTTCAGCTACTATTCAGATGTGATTGACACTAATGTATTAGCACGCCTTTTTGCTCTGTGCCCCTGTACAAAGAGCCACCACCTACAGAAGAGGTGGAGTTTTGGCTACCCTAGGTAAAGGATGGGTGTGGGACATCCACAGCTGAATCATGAACTCAGAACAAGCTGTTCAGGCAACAAAAGGGGGAAAAGGCATAAGCCCTTTCAATAACCTTTGGATTAGTCATTTTTTTCACCAGAGGGAAAAAAAAAAAAAAGAGAACCTACACACATTCACGAACATGTCATTCAACGCCAAGTAATTCGTGCTTTGGGAGGAGTTTTGTTGGTATTTGAGTGGGCCAAAATGTTTTTCTGAAGTAGCCAATTTCTCTAAGGCCTACTTAGGCATTGTGCCATTTTTATAGCATCAGACCATGGGGCAAAGGCACTGCATCCATCCATCAATCCATCCATTCACTACCAGCCTATGAGCTCAGCTTGTAGGCAGCCTCAGTGCCATGTCACAGAAGAAGAAAGGCCCAGGTCTCAGAGCTTAGAGCTGGGGAGAAGCTTGCAGGACCTCAAGCCATTGGCAAGGATCAGCCTGGATCTGAAAGACTACACAAGGATAGGAGTGAAACTAGGAAAAAAGATGATAAAAGCCTTCAGAGCATGGATCATGACTGAAACCTCCTTTCTAGGGATCCCCAATTAGAAGCTGACCTTTTTTATATGGAAAAGGTAGAGGGCAGCATGTTCTCTCTTTAAATGTAAATAAACTGCAGATGTTTTTGAACATGGTGGTCAGCTCTCTCCTGTTAAAGAGAGAAAGCATAAAAGATGATCAACTATTTCACCTTTCAGTCAATAAGGTAAACTGAAGAGCTTAGAAAAGCTAGAGCTTAAAGTGAGTCTGTAAACAAGAGCTGATCACTGAGAATCAAGTATTAAATCCTTGTCCATAATATATTTTAAACTGTATATAGACTCCTCTGTGAAACTGTTGTGACTTCACTAAGCCTTCCCCTGGTGGCCCAAGGCAGAGTTATTAGTAATATATTACTATTATCTATGTACTAGTAACTCCAGACCCAACTTTTCTGTATACCACATTTTGCATGAAAGAAAACTACCTATTAAATTGTTATCTGTATGCATGGATAAGTTTGTGCATCTGTC